GTTGCTGAGACTTTAAATGAGACAGTGAGGGAATTAGTTCAAAGCTCTAAACTGTTTCTATCAGTGATCAGATCACCTACAAGGCTCTCCTGAACATGATCACTCCCTCAAATTCTTGGAAAGACAAATTTGTATGAAAAGACACAGAAATTGAGAAAGGAAAGAAGGGAAAGATTTCTAAGTTATAAAACCTTTTATTTCTATAAAATACCTTAAAATAATTAAAAAATTCATACGTGAAATGTGGACATTTGTCCACATCTCACCTCTAGGGAAAAGGCAAGGGGCAGGCAGGACTTTTCCACTGATAGAAGGAATTAGCACAAAGCCTGAGGGAATTAATGGCAGCTGTGGTTCAAATAACCGTGTCTCTGGGTTCACTGTTCACTCCCCCAGGACGAGCTAGGTAGGGAGGGCTGTATTTGATAGGAGATGGTACAGAAACCCAGGCAAGAGGAAGTATTGAGGACCCCTTGGGTGGGGAACGGGTGAACCAGGTCAAAAGCTGCATTTCTTTATCTAGAATGTTCTCTAGAGGGCAGTGATGATCATGAGAGTCCGTCTAAGGCACACTACAGGTGCTGGCTGACTTTTGTAGACCCAGAATTATCATTGTAATACAGAAGGGATAAACTGGCATTCTTTCATTCTGGGTTGTTGTTTTTTTTTCCCCTCAACAAACCTTCACTGGACTTTTGCCAAATCATCAGAAATCATGACCCTTAAGAGAGCAGCTCAGGAGAGTTCCAAGGACTAACAAAGGCTTTTCCTCTTCCATAAGCAAGGTGAATTTATTCTGAATCTTTTCTTTATCTTAGGAGGTATGTAAGACGGGGGGCAAGAAAGAATAGCCTCTTATCAGATCCCCCCCCAAAAGAGGAGAGGAACGTGAGAAATAATTTTTAAAATGGAGCAGCAAAAAGTAGGAGCTGCTGCGAAAAGCAGTCACTAGGTCTGCTGCCGCCTTCCTCTGCCAGAGGCCGGGGACAAGGACGTGAAGAGCAGGGACTCAGACGTATCTGTTACTCAGGAACGAACAGGAAGTCGCTCTAGAACTGTGATTTTCAACTTTTTTTTTAATCTCAGTGTACTTGAACCTATAAAACTTACACAGCGCACTTAAATTATGTTGGCCAAAAAAAAAAAAAAAGAATGAAAAAAATATACTTACTGTGCTTTGAACTTAAATTTTCGTGGCACATCTAAGATCCGCTCATGGCACACCAGTTGAAAATCACTGCTCTAGAGAAAGCCAATAAATAGACAAGAAGAGCCGTTTGCCATCACCGGGCAAAATACAATTAGCCAAATTGCTTTGGGTTAATGTCCAACAGGTGGGGAAATTAAGCGCTAATCACGGCTTCAGCGTCACACTTCTTCTCCCCGCTGTGTGGGGCACAGACCTCACTACCTAAGCCACAGATCCTAGCAGCTCAGAAGTGAACCTGGGCTTCATTAGTGCTTAAATGTCCCCAGCCAATAGGAGTGAGAATTAAAAGTTTAAAAGTGTTAACACTGGAAGGAAAATTTATTATAAACGACAAAAATTTGAGATTAACTCACCAGTTTGCTCTTAACCTATGCAACGCATCAGCTTGAATACAGGATGATTCACTGCCAAAGCCCATGAAGAAAAAAACTCCCCTGACTCCTGCCCCCCTCACCTCCAGCTGCATTAATCAAGGTCACCCAAACCCTTAGAACACCACTCCCTAAATGGGGTACTAAGACTCAGAATGTAAAGATAGGTTGCACAATAAAACTGAAAAAGACAAATACGCTCAGATCTTTTCTTGACCAACTTTTAAGTAATAAAAGCTTTAGGGAGAAGATTTTATTTTAAAAAATAAATTTCAAAGAGAAAGCACATTGAAAACATCAGGTTTTAGTGATCAGGGTAGGTACTTTTATCATGAACTTCATGATCTAAAAAGTCATTTGCTACATTTCCTAGGATAAATCTGAGACGACTCTTTTATCAAGCATGTGTGCCCTGCACAGTGACGCTTGGAAGGTCATAGTTCCACGCCTCCTTTAAAAGTGTGCCCAGCCTCATGCCTGTAATCCTAGCACTCTGGGAGGCTGATGCAAGTGGATCACTTGAGCTCAGGAGTTTAAGACCTGCCTGAGCATGAGTTTCTACTAAAAAAATAAAAAAACTAGCTGGGCATCATGGTGGGTGCCTGTAGTCCCAGTTACTCAGGAGGCTGAGGCAAGAAGATGGCTTGAGCCCAAGAGTTTGAGGTTGCTGTGAGCTGTGATAATGCCACAGCACTCTACCCAGGGTGACAGAGTGAGACTCTGTCTCAAAAAAGAAATGTGACCAGCCAGAAGAAAGAAAGTGCTGCTGATCCTCAGCTAGCAGACAACTGATGAGGATCATTCTGATTCATCACTCAGGCATCTGGGCTGTGAAGAGTTTAGGTAAGGACGCCTCGATTCCTGAACTCTAAAAGCCAAACTAGAATCTCAAGGTAACCTGTCTTGAAATTCAAGCTCCTTTTCCCTCCACTTTTTATTTCAATGATATATGGGAGACTTTCTACATATTCAATAGGAGTTATGATCCAATTGGTTCTGTGAGCCTAAGTATGAAAATCCTTACCTCCTGGCAAGAGACCCACAGAACTGGTCAGCAGTTAAGACTGAGGTCAGACACTGGAAAAACTACACTAGTCCAGAGTTGTAGTGACCATCCAACAACAGAGATGCTGCTGAAAAGTAGCCACAGCTAAGTGGGTGACTGCTGAAAGAAAGGGCTGGAAGAGACCTCAGTAGGCCATTAGGCCATCCTCCTGGCTGAATGGGACAAATGCCTCTCTCTGGCCAGTTACTTGCAATTGTACTCACAGGGAGGGGACCCTAGGTGTCTTTTATATTTATTTTTTAGAGATTCCTAAAGGCAGCATCTTTATGAGAAGGAGCTGGGAGCTTCAAGGACTTGACAGGTTGGAGCCCAAGTCCAGAGCGAGCCCTCTCCTGGGGGATGTCAGCAGGAACCTGGGGGGAGGAGGACAGAGCAGTCCCTGAGAGGCAGCTGTGGCGTGCAGGGCAAGCACCCTCACACTCCAGGATGGGGGTGGCTGCAGCACACAGCCTGTTCAGCAGGAAGATGACATTTCAAGGGGTGAAGAGCCAACAAGGCCCACAGCTAGGCCCATTTGCCTAGGAGTTTCTATCCCAAATTTTCCTAAATTAACCCGCCACCCCCTCAGAAGCAGTGGCCTTCAACAGGGCATGTTTTATCGCAGGGGACATTTGGCAATGTCTGGAGACATTTTTGGTTGTCATCACTGGGAGGGTGGGTAGAGGCCAGGGATGTTGCTGAACATCCTACGATACACAGGACAGCCTCCTACAGCAAAGAAGGATGCAAACGTCACTAACGTGAGGCTGAGAAACCCTGCTCTGGGGCAGGACTTTACTCATAAGATTGTGAATCTAGTGTGAGCCGCAGCCCCTGGAATCTACACTCAGATAACTGTGAACACCCTCTACCTCAAGCCCTACTGTGTGGACCAAGCCACTGCCTTGTTGAGCGGAAGCCCCCAGTTATCCCAGAATGTTCCACAAACGTCCAAACAGCTGCTAGGGGTTCAGATGCCAGCCAGTACAAACAAAACCTTAGATCCTTTCATCTTCTTCCTCTCTGAAAAATCTATTTCTTTCTCAGAGCCAGGGCCACCCCGACTGCCACCGCCAGGAGGGCGACGGCAGCAGCCCCTCCAAACAGGAGTATAGACTTGCCCTCAGACAAGGGCAAGGGCTTCGCTCTCCCAGCGGGGGAGGACTCCTCCGTAAGACGCTCTCCCTCTACATCTGTCTCCTGGCTCAGCAGCGTTTCCGGGTAAAGACGCTCTCTCTCTACATTTGTCTCCTCGCTCAGCAGTGTTTCTGGGGGTTCCAGTGTGGGGATCTCCTCCTCCTCCACTTCACCAGCTTCAAGGGTCGCTGCTTTTACCTCTTCTTCATCAAGTTCCACAAACAAAGACGTAGCAGGGCTGGCTTTCTCGGCTGCAATCACCTCTGCGTGGGGCTCCCCTGCCTCCAGCAAAGACGTGGCAGTGATATGTGGAAGCAGGGGTGCTGGGGCTTCAGGGAACGCCTCCTGCAGCTCCCCGGCAGCCGCAGCAGCCTCTTCCACGCCCTCAGGAACTTCTTCTTTCTCCACATGCACTATGTCAGAATTGGAAGAGTTGTTCTCACTCTTCTCTCCAGCTCCGTTGCTATCCAAGCTTTTGACTTCCTCAGGATCCATCGCGATCTGTTGCCAGGATTCGGGACCTAGAGACACTGGCAAGCTTTCTGTGTGCCAACTCTGGCTGGCCGACAGTGAGACAGGTAAGCTCTCTGACTGCCAGGAGGTCGTCACAGTTGGAGACTCTGGAGGACTGACTTGTCCAGAGTTGTCACTGGGCAGGATGTAAATGTCATTGCTGTCCTCTGCAGTGACTCCAGGGCACTCCTCCTCCTCTGAGTCAAGGTTAAAGACGGCGCCCTAGAAAAGGAGGAAGAGAGTCTATTAATATAAAGAAAGGCAAATATTTAAAAAATAAATGTCCATCTGGAAAAATTTTTTCCTAAATGGAAGTCCCAGGAATAAATACATTGTTTCAACCTACATAGTTTCTGAATTGAAGGCATTTATTTGTAGGCCAGTGCAGAGGAAGAATTTTTGACAGTCCTCTGACCAGTTCTCCTGAAACTACAAAATCCAAAAGTTAATTTATATTCAGTATAATTTATACATAGGTTGCACATCCTTAACCTGAAAACCTAAAATCTGAAATGCTCCAAAATCCAAAACTTTTTGAGTGCTGACAGGACACTACAAGTGGAAAATTCTATATCTGACCTCATGGGATAGGCTGCAATCAAAATGCAGCCAAAATGGTTTCAAGCAGACAGTTATTAAACATGTTATATACAAGGAATATATGAAACATGAATGAACTTTGTGTTTAGACTGGGGTCCCTTCCCAAGACTTCCTGTTATGTATGTGTAAATATTCTAAAATCCAAAAATACCCCCAAACACTTCTGGTCTCAAGCATTTTTGTTTGTTTTTGAGACAGGTCTCACTCTGTTACCCAGGTTAGAGTGCTGTGGCGTCAGCTCATAGTAACCTCAAACTTCTAGGTTCAAGAAATCTTTCATACCTGAGCCTCCGAGTAGCTGGGACTACAGGCACCTACCATGATACCTGGCTGATTTTTTCTATTTTTAGTAGAGATAGGGTCTTGCTCTTGCTCAGGCTGGTCTTGAACTCTTGAGTTCAAGTGAGCCTCTTACCATGGTTCCTGGCTGGACCCCAGCATTTTGATAAGGGATACTCAGCAGTATAATCAATGTAATAATTAATGTAAAACAACAGAGAAAAAAGACTTTGTGCTCAAGGATTCATCACTTAGTAGGGTGTAAAAATAAGGCTATGCTATAGTTAAAGGGCTACATATTAAGACTTCAGATGGGAAAATGACCTCTTTTAGTGAGGGTCAGAGAAGGTAGGAAGGTCATAGCATCATGCAGGTCCATGCTGTGTGTGGAAATTTAAAAATACAAAAACCAAACAAATAAAAGAAAGCTTCATGGATGAACCAGTGTGTAAGAGGTCTGACAATTAAGTTCACAAACTTCTCACCCCGTGCTTATGTTAGCAGCACTGTACAAACAAGTCAGTAAGGTTTCCCAACCTTGGTATATCAGTGTCTCATGGTTGTGTCGACCTGTGGTGCTGTCTTGCTGAGTTGTGTGTTTTTTGTGTACCATCATGAGGATGTTGGAGCTTAAATTCAAGCAATGAGCAAACATTAAGTTTCTTGTTAAACTTGGCTAGAGAATACTCATAAATGTTATAGAGAGTTTGAATATGATAGAATATAAACTAATTCCTACTTCATTTGATGATTATGGCTGCCATTCCTCTGAAGTAGAATAATTTTATTTTTCAATCAAGACCAAAAACTCTCTGTATACACCACGGATCAAGTATAAATCAGGAGTCTATCATAACCACAAAAAAGGAAACCAGAAATACAAATAAACAAATCACACAGTCATAATACCGTGCTGTGCCACATTCTATCTCAGCCCTTGTCCAACCTCCTTAGGAAGAGGTCTTGGCAAGCATCAAGGATACAGAATAAATACGGAATAAGCAGAAAGACAAATCAATATGGTAATTAAAAACATGGAATTTATAGTCAAAAGAACTGGTTTGAATCTCAGTTCCAGCTGGGTAGCAGCTGTGTCAATTTGGATGCCTTGCTTAACTTTTTAAACTTTAATTTCTTCATAAATAAAATGGGGGTGGCTGACTTGATAAGACTGTTTTAAAAACTAGGTCTAGTATTTATAGTGCTTAGCATAGTACCTAGGACGCAGGAAATAACCAATAAGTTATGCTATTTCTTCACTGTTGTTATTATTGTCTTTTTGGTGGTAGGTGGGGTCAATGGTCTACTCTAAAATGCCAAGTACACAGGACAATGAAGAAGTAAAAGCAATCTGAAATAATACCCTGCCCTGGTTAGAGAAGGGAACTTACAAACCTTTCCTTCCTTTTCCATCCTTTCCAAGTAGAGATATCACAGAACTGGTGACATCTCTCTTTAGAAAGCTATAATACTGTAGGATACAATCAGATAAATTGGAAGGGCCATAGACTTTGAAGGGAGAAGGGGCTTCTAGGACTCCAAGCTATTGAAGATGACAGATCACTTCAGCCTTGCGGAGGTCCCTTTGAATCTAGACCATTGGGAAGGTCCAGAAGAGGAAGAACTGAGGGTGGGACAGGGAAGAAGAGGGAGGACACTCAGGCTTTAGGGCAGGCGTGTCCAACCCACAGCCCATGGGCCACATGCAGCCCAGGATGGGTATGAACACACCCAACATGAATTGTAAACTTATTTAAAACATTTTCTGAGTTTTTTAATGATTTTTTTGGTGGAACTTGATTGTGTGGTTCTTGAGCATGAACTTTGTAAATGATGATGTCCTGTCACGATAAAATAAACATACGTTCGCTCTGGCTATTTGCACACATGGGCAACTTTTGGTGTGTTATCTTACAAGCACAGTTGAATTGACACCATCAGAGGTTACATGTGCTTGTGATGACCTGGTGAGGAAGCGATCATCAATAATATTTCAACCTATCATAGCAACGTCAGGCATTTAATGTTATTTAGAAGTCAGGTAGGCATTCTTATTAATTATTAAGGGAACGTCCACAACTCAGTAGCACCTCACACATCACCCATTAAGCTTTATAATCGGCCCTCTGCCTCATCCTGCCCCAAACCCAGCTTTCTGTTTTTCTAACAATCAATTTTCACAATAAAAGTAAATATAATCTCTATCTATTATTTTTTAACCCCAACATAGCTTCTACAATGTCTCAAAAGAAAACAGAATGCCCCCCCCCAAAAGTACAGATTAAGTAAGATTGTTCAATGAAAAGTGGACAGATGACTACTTTTTTCTCGAGGCAAATAGTAAGGGAGTTAGCTTAATTTGCAGGGAATTTGTGCAAAATTTTTAAAGACTACAATTTGAAAAGGCGTGATATACAAAGGCCTGTTGCCCAATTCCACGTGTATGAAGCATTGTGTTGTAAGGACAAAACAGCAGAACTGAAAAAATGTCTTCTCAACAAAAATGTTTTCTAAAAGTTACAACTCAGGCCGATTCCATTGTAAAGCTAGTTATGCGGTGGCATATTTACTAACAAAAGAAGTCAAAACCATTTAAGGATGGTTTAAGTTTATTAAGTAATGTATGGAAAGCATGGCAGACACAATTTGCCTTGAAAGAAAGAGGGAATATTTTTTAAATCAGTTTGTCTCACCCGACTATAGCTAGGGAAATTGAAGAAACTGAAAAATTTATCAAAAGCAGTTTGGAGAATAAAGCTGCTGATTTTAAGTTTTATGCTGTGGTGACGAATGACAGCACTGATGCCACAACTACGGCTCAGCTTGCCATTTTCATTAGAGGTATTGATGATGAATATAATGTCACTGAAGAAATGGCTTCTTTGGTGCCATTAAGACACAACTAAATCAAGAGATTTATACGAAGCAGTAAAAAATATGTTAAAGCGATTTTCTTTGTCCATTGTCAACATATCTGGTATAGCAGCTACTGACGGTGCCCTGGCGATGGTAGGTAAAAGAGAGGGATGTGTAACATTAATAGAAAATGAAGGAATTGCCACCAAAAAGTCATGTTTGATAAAGTATTATTGAAGAAAATTTACGTAGAAAAGTTTTAAAAATGGATAAAACCATGTAAATTGTCATCAAGACTGCAACTTTTATAAGGGCCCAGGGACTGAATCGTTGCCAGTTCCAGGAATTCCTTGTGAGTGTCGATACTGACTATGGTGACATCATTTACTTTTCAGAAGTAAGATGGCTAAGCCAACGCCAAATGTTGAAAACATTATATGATTTGCTGTGTTATCAAGTAGTTTGTGATATCAAAAAACAAGTTTGCGCCAGAACTGGACGATGAAAACTGGCTTATAGATTTAGCATTTTTAGGGGATTTAGCTGCTCATTTAAATGAGTTAAACATGTATCTTTTTTTTTTTAATTAAAACATAGCTGTGTACATGAATGCAGTCATGGGGTACAGTGTGCTGGTTCCATACACAATCTGAAATATTTTCATCAAACTGGTTAACATAGCCTTCCTGTAATTTTCTTAGTAATTGTATTAAGACATTTATATTCTACATTTAGAAAGATTCACATGTACCCTTGTAAGATGAACCATAGGTGCGGTCCCACCAATCACCCTAAACATGTGTCTTTAAAGTGAAAACCAACATATTAATACAGTGTTTCAAACCACAATGGCGTTCCAAACAAAACTGAAATTATAGCAAGCTCAAATTAAACAAACAATTTTATGCGTTCAGACACATTGTCTAACCACAGTCCTGTGAACAGAGAAAAATATTCAGCCTTGCCTTTTGATTTGATACAAAAATTTGAAAACGGATTTCAAGATTTCTGGAAAATAACATTTTGGTGCATTTACAACTCCATTTTCAGTCAACATAAATATGTCACTTGCCAATTTTCAAATGGAACGCACAGAGCTGCAATCTGACATTCAACTTAAAGACAGATTTGATCACGTCTCTTTGCTGGACTTTTGTAAGTCTTATCTTCCCAGAGACTAATATCCCTCACTTCACAGTCATGCCTAATTCGTGTCATTGCTTTTTGGCAGCCCCTACATTTGTGAGCAACCGTGTTCAAGAATGAAACACATTAAGTATAAAATTAGAACCAAAATATCTGATGAGCATATTGAGAACTCACTGAGAATTACAACTACTTCCATCAAATCAGATACTGATGCATTAGTTTCCCAAATACAAAGTCAAATAGCCTACTAATTTCATGCTGCCCATTTTTCTTTTACTTTTATAATATACAATTAAAAAAAAACATGTTTTGTTAATTAGATATGTATATTTTCT